ACTTAGGATATGGTAAATATCTTTAAAAACATTGGCCAGAACAGATAAAACAGGTATGTACAGATTTGACCCCTTCACAAAATATGTTTTCTTGTCACTTTTAAACTAAACCTATAAAAATGTACAGGTAATCTTTTTGGTTTGTGGGAAAACCATCTTACCTTCACTGTTTATTCTCAAGCATGGTTACCTTGGTGTATCTGTCCATCTAGCCATTCCTTCATTATTTCCTTCAATATCATTCATGGCAATTTGTCTTTATGAAACTTCACAGCAAGACATTTTTATCTGGATAGTCCCCATGATATCTAGAAAAGCCATCATGTGCTCACTGCATGACCTTATCTTTTCCTAGTCCAATGGCTGCTCTCTCACCAGTCCCTTTGGATAGTAATATCCTAGACTGATGAGATTACCTGTTCCTTCCCCTGACCCTGTGCATCAGACGTGCCCGACACTCCTCATTTCCTGCCAAACACATGGTTCACCAGAGACTTGCGCTCATCCATTCAACCCCTCCTGTGCCGTGCATGATCTCTGTGTTAAGCCTCCCAGGACCTTCCCCTCAACCCAAATGATTCCTGAATTATTAATCCAGTTCTGCTACTGGAAATCTCTCTGGAGTTCCAAGCCTGGGATATATGATATTTTATATGAAGCCTGAGTTTCTCTTGAGCATTCGGGAATACCTGGGTGAATTAAGAACAATGGAAAGATATATGAAACATTTTAAAAACCATTTAACTCCGATGATGATAAAACAGAAACATCGGAGTGACAGTCCATATTTAAACCGGAGATGAGACATTTAAATGGATGACGCATTCTCTTCCATGTTGAGGTCTGGTGACACTATCAGACTCATAAGCAGAGATAAATCAGCTCACACACAGGAAGCACTAAGAGCCCTTTAGAGGAAGCTCACAACTTCCATTAACAACAATAAACCCCCCACCCCTCTCTCCTAGAGCAGAAATGAACTCTGTAGTTCTGCTCAATCAGGTAGATCTAAAGGCTTTTTTTAGTCAGACCACACTCTGAGGAGAACTGGCAACAAGGAGTCAGCCTTGGCTTATCTGCTTTGCGGATGCCCACATTTAAAACGGGGCTTGAGGATGTGGGCAATTCACATTAACCTGTGGAATAGATGTGTGGGAGGATTAAAAAAGAAAACCCACTCCCACTTGGGGTGATACATAAAGTGACCAGGAGACATTACGACCAGGTATGGAGCCACAGAAGTGAAAAAAAGAAATAAATAGCTGCCATAACTACGGTGACTGAGGAAAACTCCAATTGGGGGAGAGTCCAGAGTGGAAAATAAGCTTAACAGACGAAGGTGTAGCACCTTCATCTCCATGTGGGTCTGATGAATGACTTAGATGATGCATGTTTTAATAAATATTTAAAATTTTTGACACTATATTAAAGATCATGCAAATGTGGCTCCACGCAAAATTTACCTGTGCGTTTGTCGTCAATGGTTCAGAAAGGATGATATTTTACCCCCTTTCAGAAATAATGTGCATTTTTTTAAATCCCTCTTAAAAATGATGTCAAACTCATTCCTTGAAAAATCTATCTTTCCAGGCTCCATTACCCCAGTCAGCTTGACACAGACAGTGTAAGCAGGCAGTCGTTGGTTTCTATTAAAAGTCCCGCTGCAGGGAGACTGACACACACTCAGGCATGGAGTGAATGTGGTTTGCGGCAGAGCTCTTGCATGTCTCCATGTGTGTTACGTGTTGCGCATCAGAATCTTCCTTTCCTTGTGCTTTGCCCTACACCCAACACTCAGGGCAGACCGGCCATTAGCTACAGCTACAGCTGGATGGTTGCTTGGCAACTGAGGCCCTGCACAGCCTATCACCATGAAGCAGGAGGTTATTCTGCATAAAGCAGGTCAAGAATCAATCCCTTAATTCCACTCACAAGTCCTGTCTCTTGCTTTCAAAGACAGCTTGAGTTTTTCAAGGACAGTTGAGCACAATATTAAATATGGGTTTAACAGATTTCTCTTGTTTAGAACATTTAATACAGCATAATGTAAAAAGTGTTTAAAGTGCTGTCAGCAGTCGCTTAAAGGTGCAGAATGCGATCTTTGGGAATCAATATTGATGTTTGAAAACAAACTCACCCCCCACCAATAGTGTCTATATGACCAAAAATGCATCTATATGGAGGAATCTGCAGGGATTATATCCATGAAAACATAAGCATACACCATTATGTGAAGCAAACCAAACATATGTGGCTCATCTGTCCAGGAAAAACAAGGTAACCTTGATGTCTGATGCTAGCTCCTCTCATGTCCTCATGTCTCACTCACTGCAGTGCTGAAAAAATAATCCAAAGTTTACCTGAGTTGATATATACCGGTATACAGTGCTTAATTTGTAAATTTGAAGTTACTGGAACACAACAGGACTGGGGTGACGGACAGGGGGGCTGGCCCAAAACAGTTGCTGGAACACAAACAGAACGCAATGGTTCAGTGTCTAACATGCCTACTTTTAAGCAGCAGGACTTACATACATCATTTACAACATAATTTAAGACATATACACACAAAAACCTTTAGATTACTTTCAACACAATTTATCTTAATCTTCAATATCATGTTAAATGGCCGTTTAACATGATGGACTTGAGTCTTCGTTTCTTTTAAAAAACGAAAGCAAACTTGATTGTCTTTTAGACATGTTAGCACGAAGGAGTCAGGACACTTTTGTTTTCGCCAAATGCCGCCTAAAAATAAGTTACGTACAGGACGTAAATTACCCAGCAGCAGCCTTTTCAGACTTGCTAGTAGTGCATTTTATTTATTATTATTTTTTTTACATTATACAATGCACAATAAAGAAAACACACTAACACAATAATTATTAATTATTTTATTTTATAATATTTTTATCTAATCGCTAATTTCCACATAATACGGGCCGGCCTGCCGACTGCAGGGGACAGCACAAGTGATGGGAAGTTCGGATCATTTTACGGATTCGGTTCTTTGAGTCTCGTTCAGTAAAATGAACGGATCTTTTTTTCGAGTCATTTCGTTCATTTTACTAAAATATCAATAAATGTTGTGTGTACTTCCACATCTACTAGCGTTTTATACATAAACGCGAATCACACTACAAATAAGACAAAACTATAATGCTAAATTTAAAATGAATATAAATATATTACTAAAGCCTACCTGGGTCTTTTAGTCTGGTTTACCCAAACTCTGATCTGTCTTCTTTAGATTTAAATCTCTTTTGTTCGACACAAAATTACTTCACTCTGATGTTAACGTGTGCAGTCCGAGCACTCAGTCCGGACTTCTTTGTCACGTGACCGCTACAGTGCCGGGATCTGAAAAGATTCGTTCTTTTTGCGAGTCCGGGTCCTTTCGGTCTTTTCTCTTTCCGGCTCATGCTGCATTGGTTAACATTACGGAGTGGCCATGAGCCGGAACCCGAAAAGATTCGTTCTTTTTGCGAGTCCTCCGGGTCCTTTCGGTCTTCTGTCATTGATGATGAACGGGTTACGCTCGGAAAACCACAAGAATGATGCGCATGCGCCAATGAACGAATCCCTCTCCAACACGACTCGTTCATACGGAGTCACATTAAAGATTCGTTCAAAAAGAACGAATCGTTCTTGAACGACACATCACTAGACAGCACCAGCCTACGACGAAGGCAGCCTGGCACACCATAGGCGAGTGCTCTGTATATTCTTGAGTCGGGGGAATGCATTGTAGTACAGTAGAGTGAAAAAGGTGGGCGGAATTGGGCAGATAAAGACAAATGGGGTCAGATAATTACCGGATCCCAGAATAAAATTTTCCGGATCCTTGGAAGCCAGAAATTGAGAGAAAACGGATTGCGTTCCGGCAAACGGCGGAACAAATTAAGCACTGATAT